TTGCCCTTCATTATCTCCCCTCTCCAGCCAACGAAAAGATGGCCATTTGCGGGTGTATGGCAGCCGGGAAAAATCGCAAAAACCACTGGGTGCGGAGCTCTCCTAATACCGACATTAGGACTAAATCCGAAGACATAGTGATACTTCTGAAGCGTTCGAAGATACCAGCCAGCTGGGCGCTGCAGAATTGTGGGTAATCCGGAGAATTCACTCTCTGCCTTTCTAGACTCCTTCCAACTAATTCCCGAAGGTCGCGCTGAAATGTCAGAAAAGTCTTGACAGAGCGTGATTGCTGTACGGTAGCTTAGCCTAGCTTCTTTTGTGCCGTTCAGGGCGCTGGGGAGTGCCGTTGACTCATCGACAAGAGAAGCCCTCCTGGCTAATTAGTCGAAATCTTAGTCTCGGCGCCCACACAAAATCTATAGTTGAAAATCCCTCGAAAATGTCAGTCCCAGCTTGGTCTTCAGAGACCTCTTTCCACTCTCGCTCCACATTTCAGCCGCCTGTCCTTCCTCAAGATGTATAACCCCATTAGAGCAGCAGTCCCCCATAAACAAGACCCCAACTTTGTATTTTTCGACTTGATTTCCTCCTTGCGGGTATAAATAGCGTCGTAAATTTGTAGTGAGTGATGGCCGGTGATGAATGAGGCAAGCTCCTGTTTGCAATTGGGGTGACGCCTTTATCGATCGGCGAGGCGAGATGACATGTGGCTAGATCGGGGTTGAAGACTCAGAAGATGATGATGAGTGCTGCATGATTGAGAAGTCGTCAAATGGAGATATGCATGTGTTTGCTTTCGACTTCGATTCGGATGCGATTCTTCTTGGCTATCCCAGATATGCAGAGCATAATAAGCGAGTACACCGGCACCACTGGAAGGTGAAGAATTCGTCTTTGCCGGCACATTTGTGCAGTTTTGCTACTTGACTCTATAGCATATTTACAAGAGTTCAAAGGTATTCGAATTCTAAATTACAACCCCATCAACTTACCTTGGCCTTGGATTCGAGCATGCGGCTGTAATATTTCCAGACATTAGTATCTAGTCGGTTCCCTTATACGCGTCCACCTCAGCCTAAAATCCTGCTGGCATACTCTCAATGAGTCCCACAAGATGTTCGGGAGACACTGAATTCCATGCAATCGATAAAAAAAACTATTTTCACGCAATATATTTGCGAGTCGATAGACCTCCAATTCTTCTCCAAAAATACACAGGAGCCGTTTTATGATCCTGCTAAAAAACCTCAGAACATCCAGCCAACCATGTACTTAGTTTTTTTCCCCAACACAATCAGCATTGTATTCTTGGGTAGTCTAGCTCAAAATGTCAGAACATTAAGTTACCTTCTTTTTAAATGGAATATAGGAACACTTCTTGCTACCCATTCCCTGGAATTTCTTTCATATTTTGCCAAATTTGATCTGTGTTAGAATTTAGAATAATTGGGGCTGTCAAGTATGCTACGTTGTTGAGACATACGTGACTGCAAATTCTGTACTTAGTTTCACTTCGGTAGTTACTTGAATCAGTGCGTTCTACAACCTCAATGACTGAGGGGTCATTATTTCTTTAATAATCTGTCCATAAAACTTACGTCCAGTCTTCAAATTTCCAATGGAGATGAGCTTCGTCTCAATCTCTGCATATTGCCATAGTTTTTTGAGATGCTGGAGGCTTAAGATGAGCTAAATGTCGTAGATACTCTCTTCTCCAAGGTCTTTTTTGTATTTCTCACTCGCTGACACCAAAGTATCTAAAGGGGTCAGAGGCGATTTCTAGGAATGTTTGGCGGCGGATTTCAGGTTGAGACTCAATTTGAGATAAAATCTGATTGACATCATCTGCTTTCAGTGTCGGAGATAATCCTTTTCTCTTTTTGGGGGAGACAGTTCCGCGGCGCAGTAAATAGCTAACTTGTCCCCGAGAAATTACTAGTTGCGCGACAATTTGAGTCTGATTTTATCCAGCTTCATGGAGCCCATGAATCTAAAGGATTCTTTAATATTCATTGGTTAGTATTTAGTTCTTCGACTTTCTAAAATGTTTTGATCTCTGGATAATTAATTGAATCGAGGTGTGGAAGGTGGGGTCTGAGGTGAGTTCATCTGCAAAATAAAGATAGTAATGAGTAAAGCCATGTGTCTGGTGAACAAACAACTTTGCTTTAGAGTGATCAAATTCTTTTCATCAGTCAAGCACAAGATGAAAAGAGGGGGACTATTCTCAACACCTGTCAGTGGTATCCCCTACGAACTTCCAGCTCTAACTGTAGAGTGTGCAGAGCCGAGATTGAGCAACAAAGTCCTCACTTCAACGAGGATCCCCAATCTCTTACGCGGTCTGTATCGTCTTCATCTCTCAACACATTCCCCTATCCCCATTATCATGAAGCTAACCACGATCAGGTCAGATGATGGATTGGATCAAGTCGGCCTCGACTGTTACAAAGGGAGATATAGATGAATATGCGCACCTCATGTGGTCCCGGTGTCTAGGCCTCGCCTGGCTGGGGCTACAGGATTTTTGAGACTTTTTCCCGCGCACGCAGTTTCAATTGTGTTGAAATTAAACTTAGAATATGCAGAACTCTTCGAGTGATCACGGAGAAATAACGAAGTATATTCTTCAAAGGGTATCCGTAGATGTGAATTATGTTTATAGTAAAGGCTTGATCGAAACTCTTGATCTTTACTAAAGGATATGAGACTGTCTATATACATTGATTTCTGACAATGACATGGGCTAGAGTATAATGCCTCATTACGGGATACAACGGGACAAACTACAGATCTGATACCAGTTACGCGTACTCTTGTCGCAGTCTCGAATATCAGACGTAACAAAAGATGATGGTGTAACTAGTAGCGGATAGGCGACCCCCGACAATCTTGATGGACACATACTGAAACCACACGCACGGGGAGTGTCTAGGTTGGTTTCGCAACACATTGCTAGCATTTTTTTTGGGTAGAAGGTTCCGTGGAAAAGGTGGCCGAATTCCACGGATAAATACTGAGCTGAATGGCTACTCATCACGGGCAATATATCAATGATCTTTCAAGAAACATAAGAGGCAATTAGCACTGTACAAGGTGTGGCCTGGATCAGAGAGGAGCCCAACGTGCTAGATAGTCTATGACTCAAATAGTACAATAAAAACACACACACTACTCATCTTCGATCGTTACCAGCTTTGGTGAGGTCTCGGTGGTGGGAGTGTTATTCCAACACGTATTCAGAACATAATGATTCTACCTAAGCGAGCTAGATCATAGATAGATAATTAGATGTGGCTTAAAAGCTGATAACTGTAACCAAAATATAGGCTCAGTAAAACCAAAAACCTCCTTGATCCTAACCTTTTATCTCTGATCCTGAAATCCCCAATATTTTACGATTCATACAGTACTGACTTGACGGTGAACGTTCACTTATATCATTCTAGATACCCCCAGGAACTTTAATAGTCTCAAGCTACCCTCGACCAATTTAAAGCGATTTTATCACCGAACATATCAGTAGAGATACGACGGATCCTAGGTCTAGCTCTCCCAAGGTGAGCTTATCATCATCTGATGACTGCTGGGGCTGGTCATGGAAACTTCTCCAAGTATCACGAAATATTTTACCATGAAGGAATAGATTGTAGGTGCAAATGTGGCCGAAAAAGACGCCCATGGCATTTTTCGGAATGCCGGATAGCGCTAAAACAATGGCAAAGAACAAAGAAAAAGCGCCAAGTAGATGGACACAATTAGGGAAGAAGAGATGGATGGTATTCTATAGATTTCTTACCATGACTAAAAGGCTGTCATAAAAGCTTTCACTTGGAGTTCGGAAATAAAAATTTATAGGGTAAACTTGTAGCTTTTCTCTAACTTCCTCCCTTCCTGCCATGTATATCTTCCAATCAACAAAGATCTCATATGCAATGAAAGCTAATAAAATATATGGAAACTTTATTTAGACGACCAATAGTATTAAAAAATAATTAAGCCCTGATCAAAGCTTCACATAAGTGTATAGTCATTCAGTATCGAATCAGAATGACCTAATAAGCTAGTGTTAAGTATCAAAACAATGACTAGGTTCCGAAGATCTATCCATGAGGCAACTAGGGTTAGAATTATCGTTGGAACTGTAGTACTATGCTGAGAATAACGTAATGATATTATCAGATGAATGTCATTTGCATTAATTATGAAAAAATATACCGTAAATATGGATATTATCGAGTTTGTTCTTTGTCTGACACAGTCTATACTCTCACCCTAAAATTTACTGTTCCACGCGTTGATCTGACGCGAGAAGTAGATACGTACTGAAAATACCCGGTTCATGTAGTTTCTTAAGTTCATGGTAAGAGTTGAGAGCGGAGAATGCTGATTTATATACACTGTCACAGAAGCTTTTGCCATTCATCTCAACTGCAAATATTTTCTATTTCGAGATTGTATCATTGCAGGGCTCCCACCTACTGGAGAACAATTAAGTAAACCTTTATCCACGTGCCGTTTAGAAGTGGGCAGAAAGCTGTTTCAACACCCATTTCTCAACTATCTATGAACATAGCATTACCCTACCCATACATACGTTGCTGATTATATGTATTGGGCTGGAAATTTTATTTCAAGCAAGTATTATAGCCAAGCCTTATCCAAGACATAGTGGTCATGCACATTAATTTACTTCTCCACAATAGCATCACAGCTTGGATCTGAACTGTAAACTAAGCTATTATAATATTAGATTTAACATATGTCTTAAATAGCCTCAAATGGGTTAGTAATTTTTTGATACTTGAGACGAGCAAAAAATAACTTTCTCACTAAGATCGGGTGAAAATTTGGTTAGTTTGTCCACCTAATATTTGGAAGAATAAAACGAGGGAGACGTTAAAGCCCTAGAATATTAATGAGATCAAACATCTTTTCTGGAGACACACCTCAAAATTTGAAATTCCAATTATCAAGAGACGAAATAAATATCCTCATCAAAAATTATCCCAGCTGTCCCCACCAGCATCCATTCGATGAGTCTCAAGATAACGAGTCTCAAGTAAATCTTTGTTGCTAATATGGCTACCATCGAAATTTCGATCAAAATTCTTGAGGATTTTATTCTCCTGACCTTCTTTACCTCGTCTCAAGCCCAATGAAAATGATTCTTCGACCATCTTCCGATAATTGAGATTTTCGGTCTGCCAGCTATCGTTTCGTTCATTACCACATCGAATTGCAGATTTTGCATTTGGATTAATGAAGGCTTCCATTCGTACGGTACCAAAGGCATCGGGGGAGCTACGGTTTGTACTCGTTGAAGTCTTGGGATCTACATTGCTTAATGAGAAGACTTGCTCATTATGTTGGTTATGTGCAAGTTGCAAAGAGTTCGCCCATGCGGGCTGTGAAGGCTCAAGAGGTGGATATCTGGCTCGGTACGAGTATATATTTTTTTCGTCTGGAGAAACAAGTGAAGTCGAGATATCGTGAGTACCATTGCCAGAGGGTTTAAAACTCCGGTAAGTGGATTTGTTTAGGGTAAGTGGACCAGTATTAGAGCGCTTGCGATGATGAGATCTGAAGGAGTTAACGGTATTTGTCACAGCAAACTGTGAGGCAGAACGATCAGAAAACCTTGGAACTATTGGTGCATCAGCGGCAATAGAATCGTCGCTAAGATTTTCACGGGACGCAAACTCTGAAGCCTGATGAGCAAGAGTAGAAGCTACACCTGATCTAGATGTAACAGCCGATTTACTTTTGGCAACACGGATAGAGTCCCGTATCCTCGCTTTACGACGTTGCATTTGAGGAGACGTTTCGAGCCTAGTAGGTTGCGTGGACGTAGTATGTACCGGTGCTAGAGAAATGCTTCCGGGAGCTGATTGTGAGTCAGCCAGAAATGAAAGTGCAGTCAACCATATGTAGTGGCGCTCCTTAGTAGTAGCTGTAAATTTAAGAGCCCGAGTCGGAGTGAGAATAAGGATAGAGCGATTGAAAAGAGTTATTCCCTTTGTGCTGTTATTTCCATCTTTAACATCTAGGACTGATTGAATTATCACTATTTAAAATATGTTAGGATATAAACGATTGAAGTATAACTAGACCTACATTTCCTTCCGCTCTTCCCCATCAGTGCTGGCCCTGATACAGGCTGTCTTGAGCTCCACATAACTGCACGTTCATATGGTGCCAGCCAAACCCATCTCTTATGTCGTATCCCATTAGAACAATCAGAAACAAGATTTGGTTCATTGACTCCCATTGACTTACGACGAACATACTTATACATCCACTCACCAACCATGGTTTGAGCTATGGCACCAACCACGGAAATTGGCTTATTTGAGTTGGCAACTCCACTGTCAATGGAGTCAAAGCTCCTGCTAGTATTTCTTGATAAGCTTTCCTGGTTATGAGATGCATAACGCACGCTGTTACCCAGTCGGGATGCATGCATTTCATCGTGGGGTATTGGTGGCATCAATGGGCTCTTAAAATCTGATGTAGATCTTGAAATTGGTTGCGGTACCCCCAGCGAGTTACTCTCTCCAATATAATCGGTGGCCCTGGGTATTGCGGCAGCTGATTGAACTCTACGAATGCTACCAATCCTAAGATGGCTTCTGCTCTGGCGCGTCCTATCAAGACGTTCAAAGTTATCTCGGTCAAGGGTTGGAGACGCAACACATAACCGTCGAGAGCTTTGCCGTGCAGGAATGGGAAATGGTGGTTCTGCAAGTAGCCCAGTCAGACTTGGTGAACGGGAACGAATACTTTGGATAGACAAGTCTGATTGGGAAAGGTTAGAGTGATATCTATTGTCATAAATTTTGATTTCGGAGCTAGGTACTGAAGGATTCCCGAGGTAATTCGTACATATTGTTTCATCGAGATGCTTAGCTATACTATCAACATCCGGCTTTTTGACAGCGAGAGATTCAGTAACTTTGGCTACTTCATGAATTTGATTATTTTTCTGCGCCATGTCCTTCTCACAAATCTGATCTCCACGGCAGTTCACTGTGGAGTAAGGAAGCTTACTATGCCTATCACTGTGGTTGATATTATCCAGTTTTTCACCCGAGTGTGTCTCATGGTGATTTTCACAAGAGCTGTTTGACGGCTCGGGATGGTGTGGTTTTAGCTCTGATTTTGATAAAATATTTCCAGTCGTGCGGTGATGACTTCGGATGGGAGGTTTAGGTGAGTTCAAGATAAATTGACTCGAGTGCGTTTGGATTGGAGGAGAACTTATACCGCTCACAGGTTTAGCATGATTAGGATTAAAATTGACACGTTTGTCTATCCTTATTTCTTCTGTTTGCACGGAAATCGATCTTGCTGCTATTGCTAGTGGGATACAAACCTGAAGACCAGCATCTCGAAACTGTTGAGGGAGTAAACGCTCGTTAGGGGTACCAGGCGACGATATAGGAGGATGCAACTGAATTGAAGGAATCACTATTGGAGGCGGGCTGCCTTTTTTTTGTGGAATAGATTCAGGAAAGTCTTTTTGTGTGTGGCTAACCTTCATCTCTATATTAGATGATTCGAGCTGATCTGTTTGTGTAAAGCCGACCTTCGTCTGTATGTGAGATGATTGGAGCGGATCTGTTTGTGTAGAACTGACCCTCATCTCTAAATGAGTTGATTCTGGCGGATCTGTTTGCGTAGAGCTGACCTTCATCTCTACATGAGGCGATTCAAGCGGATCTGTTTGTGTGGAGCTGACCTTAGTCTTTTTATGATGTGATGTTTGTGTGGATGGATCTCGAAATTCTGAGGGATCATTTTTTGTAAACCTTCTGGATGAAATGCTATCAGGTTGTGTAGACTCCAGTACGGAAGTTGTTGTCGGGATTTTAGTACTTGCATTTGCTGGTTTTATCTCATCTCCGGCATCTTCACACAAGCTACCTTCAAGCCTCCTGACTAAAATTCGTGCGCGAGCGCAACTATTAGACCGTCGGACACTGTCAGATATCATGGCCCCTTTTTTATGAATTTGTGAGAAAGCTTGCCGATTTACTTGGGCTCTCTCTACGGAAACCCTAGACGTGGCGCTCTCATTATCTACACAGGTGTTAACTAGATGGAGAATCGCATCGTCATTTTCATCATCGTCATCATCAATTAATTCCAACTCATCGGCTAAGGTCAAAGCCGAAGCCTTGTGTCTAACCAAACTATTTGTACCATCTAAGATAGAGTGGCTGACACTGTTTGTAATACTCATCGTACGAAGACTCTCTGTTTCGCTCACATATTCGTGATGTGGCTGATTATCATCCTGATTCCCATTATCGCCGGTCTGATTGCCCTTATTTATGGCTTCGTACACCGCGATTTCTTCTAGAGCTTTAATTAATCGGTTTTCAGATGCGTGAAGCTTATATTCCATTTTGCGTCTTTCTTCCTCCCATGAATCCTTGTCTCGCGCCCATAGAGTATGAGTTCGTTCATCGTTTTCTTTTTGATTCCTTAGCTTCTTTTGTGCAATCTCTAATCGACGTTTAACTTCCGTTGCCGACTCTTCCACATCATTTTTTTCTCTTTGCAGTTCTGCAAGGGCTAATGAAGAGCCATCCTCGAGCAGATCTAGCTTCCGCTTCAATAAATAATTTTCCTTGGAAATGGTTGTCATCCCTGACTCATATGCTTCATGTTCCCTCCTAGTTTCGTGGAGAGTGGCCTCGAGGCTTTCGATGAGCTTGGTCTTATCTTCTTGGTCCCTGCGAAGGCTTAAGATTTCAGATACAAGATTAGCATGAAGAGAAGGCGTGAAGCTAAGGCGATCAACCATGGGTAAGCTGTTTATGGTTAACATAGAAAATATATCTGACCATTGGGAAAATTACTATTCTTTCTTACTAGATTCTGAACATCTATTTTGCCTTGCGTGCTCGAGACGGGGTGAGGGTGGTGGAGGTGAGCTCGAATTTCGGGGTATTCGACCCCGGATTGAGTGGGGTGTATCAGAAGGAGTTGGAAGAGAGGCATGAGCAGCAGCCGCATATTCGTCTTCAGTTTCCCAAGCTGTCATGATGAGTAGAATGCTGAACCAATAAAATATAGCATATAGGAACTAAGATATACTTTTTAATGTGAAAGGTTGCTAAGCCTAGATCTTAGCAGCTTATATGAGCAATTTGAAGCAACAGGTTTGTCTTGAAATTTTGCAGGAGTTTGATAGCCTTCATATGGTGAATTTCAATAAACAAGCCCTTATTTTTGTTCTAGAGGGTCTTGAATGAATTGAGACAGGTGCTTTGTTGCATACGGATGAACATACAGGAAAACAATAAACAGCGGGATTTTCTCAGAGAATAGGACTGTTTACCTAAACTAGTAACATTTCAGAAGAATACGAGGTCTGTACTTAAGGTAACATGTACGTTTTTGCGTTGTGAACTGCCTCGACTCAGGCTGAAAAAGTATGTTGCCAAGCTTGCAGTGTAAGTCCCGACTCGCAAGTGGTAGACTAGGTCGAAAAAGATGGTTGCGAGAGGGACTTGAGGCGATCGGTCTACCTGTAAAACAATATCTTCAGGGCTGGCTACGGCTGGCAGTTTGGATCATATGGATCCTATGTAGAAAGAGCGCATTAGCGATGTTAACTCGTGGTTCGAAGTGCCTAGTACCCTCGAGATCACAGTGACAAGTCACACTTCTTAACCGTCTTATTTGTTTATGACTAACTTGATACTTGTATTCTTACACAAAACTTAAAGGCGCTTATCAAATATTTATCCACTCAGGCCCTAAGATGTGTGTTTGGATTCTTTGTAGCCTAATTAATATCATATCATTGTGTCATTGTCATATCGACATCTCAAGAGTTGGGTTGACATTTAAATTAACAGGGCAGTAACTTCCGATTGAAATTGATCGTAAAATCACCTTTAAGGTTTTTGCTGCTTAAGCTGCTCTAGTTCAGCAATTCTGGCGTGTGCTATTGAGGAGGTGGATCTGTTTTACCAAAATGGTAGATACATCGGAGAGTAAGTACTTAATCATTCCTTCTGTAACAAAATGAACTACACATGATGATCTTTGCTTGAAAGTCGAAATGTTCTAAACAGAGTCGTACACCAGCCCAGGGATCTTCAATTACTCCTTGCTAGGATGGCTGGTCGGAGCGGATAGATCAATGTAGATCGGGCCAACGGGCTGCAAGCTGCGTGATGTGAAAATCATGCGAATGGGAAGATGCGCTGTTATTTGGCAAGGAACAGTAATAAAACTGGGCTATACATGCGCTACTCCGACATCTTTTTGTAGTCAACATACTACTAGCCCACGATTAATGGGCCAAGCCAGGGGCAACAAATTGAACTGCTTCAAGGCGTTTAGTCTTGCGGTTAAACTATATTCCGCTCTTACCCGGATGCTATTAGTGGGTAGATGACACTTCCAGTGATAAACCACATTGGATGATCATCTATATAAACAAAAGCTTATTTTACATTATCCAGTCCTGCGTGTAAAAAGGCAGAAATGTAGTGGGTCCCCATGATCTCGGTGCCAATATTTTGATTTAACTCCATCACTTTTCCACCTGACTCACGATTATGAAAATTAGAGCTACGGCGCATTTCTAGTTCCCGCCAACTGTGGTGTTTCTGGCCAATACCCTCATTACATCGTAACAGAGGAGATATTGACTGGCATTTTTTGCCCATATTTGAACCCTTGGATGTTTGAGGGTCAGAATTAGCCGACGTAAGACTTGAAATCGTCATGCTCATCCCGTGCTAGACCCAGGAGGCATGCTGACATTCCCGTTAGGAGAAATTGGGACAAAGCACTAGCCGGGATTCTGAGGGCTTACCCCAAATTCTTTATGTTAATATGGGGTGTGCTTCGACTATCTCCTTCGCAAAGTCATTAGATGGAAGCTAGGATCTGCTTCTTGACAGTTGCATCACAGAATTTCTCTCCAAAACTGGTAGAGCCGGCCAACGTGCCCCCTGCATCGCTCAACACCTGGACAGACCAAAATGCAACATGTAGATATTTACGCCGTTGACACGTGGGATCACATCTCTTTCAATATGCTTCGTCCATTGATTTTCACTAGAGCCATAAAGCTATCATCATCAAAAAATTAGGGAGTCTCTTTTATCCCTAATAACCGTAATCCTATCAACTAATCAATGCGAAACCATAAACATATTGGTAGAGCAAACCTAATGGGCACTTTCCATGTAACTTTTGGTTCAGCCTTCCACCCCACAAGGCTGTTCTAAATTACTGCGTGGCCGACAACCCGACTTATCAAGGAGGACGAAGGCCGAACACCTGTCAGTGGTGTCCTCTACGAACCTGGGAGTGAAATATTCTCCCAGAGCCGAGATTCAGTCACGAAAAAGGGTGGGATAATTTTTTTTGATGGATTTTTGACTTGAAAGAGTTGCACTCGATGTTTTGGTCGAAAAATCAGTCGACAGAGATTTCAAAGCCGGAACAACGTCGAACAAAAAGTCATCACCACCAACATCCGATTCGCGAATGGACCTAGGTCTATCTGGGAGTCGTATTCAAACATCCGACATCTCTTAAACTCCTTTTATACTTCGACGAAGCATATCTCAATCAATCCTACACCTGCGACCTACCTCCATACCCGTCCGATCACCTACCTACACACGCTCTAATGAGGAAAGTCATGATGGAAACGGGACTTGAACAAAGGAGGAAGAAGAGGGAAGACACACCGAGGGGATTACACAAATCCCCAATGACGAAAACAAGCCGATGGAACGATATGGAGATGCAAAGCTAGAGCAACGACAAGATCTTGGACGGCATTTATATTTCGGAGTCAATGAGGATGCCAAGGGCTCGGGCGCGTGGTGGCCGAGGCTGAGGAGGAAATTGCGCTACGGCGTGTATACAGCGGGTTTCTAGACGGCTAGGCTTGGTATGATTCAACACATAGGTGAAGTCTGAGGTGGTCATGTCATTAAAGTGGGACGAGGTTTATCTGTACTTCACGGTAGTTAACCTGATCCGGCCCAACCCTCCTCGTGCTTAAGCTCCAATAGGAGTGCAACGGTAGTCATGTAACCTAGCACGTTAATGAACAAAAAAAACCCCCCTCGACTAATCAAAACTTCGCACTTAAACGACTCAATCTCTGTCCATGTTTCCCCTGTCGAAATCCAATACTCACCACAAATTCTACAAAGTTGGGATTGAGCACTACACACACCAGGACAACTTTAGTTATTAACAACCCTACGCCATTCCCTACTATCCATAAATCCATAAAATTACTAGAAAGTTGGGCTTGGCTAATTTTCAACATTAACTCTCTGCCGGGACTTATCTGTCATTTCAAGATTCTTTCCGATTTTTCCTAAACTGTGAATCGTGGATGGTACCAAAAAAAGACTAGGGATGCTGCGAGCCCTTCTATTAGGTATTCAAAAACCTGTAGCAACCGTCTTGCCGCATCCTTGAAATCTTCACACTCGTAGCTATGTCCTTGGACTCAGGCGCAAGGTTGGTATTAGGGGAGCTTAGGACCCAGTGGATTTGGCTAGCTTTCCTAGCTCCTAGACGCCTGTAAATGACTTTAATTTTGCTGGTTAGAGAGAGTAGATGGCAAGGGCAAAATAACCACACGAACTTATGATGAAAGGAAGCTGCAAACGATAGACAGGAGAGGTTATGCTACGCGAG